CACAAATAGAAAAAAAACACCAAAATTGTCACCGACGGACACGCGCTTTTGAAAAAAAGTTGGGGGGCTTTTCTGAAGCACATATGACACGGGCACCGCTGACGAGTGGTCTTACGTGTTTTAGAAGGCCTACCTAACAATAATCAGAAGAGAGCTCCAAAAAATTTTGAGTGGAAGGGCTCTTTTAACGCAAAAGGAAAAAGGCTTGCAAGTGCTATGTATTGTTCTCGAGAGGGAAGGCCTCAATCAGAGCTCGGAAACGAACTGAAGTAGAAACATTTTTGCCAATGTTTTTGCGGATTACGAAAATATGGACCTTTGACAACACGGAGCAATTTTCGCCCCGTCTCTAGCACCAATTTCAAATGTTGACCACCACTTCCGCTTTTTTCTGGAATTGCCCTTATCTTAGAACTCACTTTGTCTTTTTTCACCAAGAAATTCCCAGGTCACTATCTCAATTCCGTCTTGAGTTGTCGTGCATGAATACAGACAAACGGAATGGAGCTATTTCGGTCAGTGGAGTAATGGGCTTCGCTAACGGCTAGCGCATAGCCAAAAATATCAATATTGGAACAAATAAGTTGTTGTGGAGATGCTTTCTTCCATAAACATTGGACCCAAGCCTTAGTAGACGTTATTTTCCATGTGGTCAGACAAATTCAAAGAGTGATGGAAGTAAGGTCTAGATGAATAACATGCAAGCGGGGATTGTGTAAACCCTTTTATTTTCCTTTTCTTGTGGTGTTATTGTGTTTATTGGCATTTTTAGGCTCAAGTACTCAAGTTATATCTTTTGTAAAGCTAGGTGGACTTGGGCCCCGTTTTCGGAAATCATATTGGACTTACGCCCTTTGGTCCAGAAAATGATAGACTTGCGCCGTAGTTTTCAAAAACGATTGTGCAGCTGGCCTGACTGCGCCTGACCGTAATAGTAAATACAGTCGGACCGAAATCTGAAATACGGTTCGAACTGTATCAGACCAGCCCTTCTAATATACGGTGTAGACCGTAAAAATTATTGCAGTCCGACTGTAAAAGTAAAGCGAGGTCAAGACCTGGCAAAAATGTATTGGTTGTCCTGTATTAAATACTGTCGGCGCAGAGATCACCAAAATGCAGATCTGCGTTTGTTCGTCGAGCGCTTTATTTTAAATACACCTTTGTAACAAGACTGCTTTAAGATCCGCCTTCTCTGCTTGGATACGTCGAAGTGACCCGTGCAAACCTCTCAGTCACGTTCAGTTAGGGTCTGATGAGGGGCAGAGACACACACCAGGCACACAGGGTGGGAATAGATCTGGGCGAATAAAAGAATGTCAATCTGTTCTCTTTCAGGAAGGCACACACGCAACTACGTCAACATCAGTGGCTGATGACGTGTTCCTTCTTGATGAGGTCCGCAGCGTACTCTGCCACCATGATGACGGCCGCCATAGTGTTGCCGCTCGGAAGGGACGGCATAACGGACGCGTCGGCGACTCGCAGGTGGCGCAACCCATGGACCCGAAGTCTGTTTATTTAAAAAAACGAATTTAGCCAAGGATGCACGCCCAGTCCAAAATTGCCACAGAAATACCATAGTTTCCCGCGATTAAAATACCATGGGGTCCCTGGTTTCCAAGGGATTCTCCGAGTTATCCATAGAAATACATTTCATATAGGACTGATCCCTCTTACGATGGGACCGTCAGGTCTCCTGTATAGGACCCTGCTACCATGGTTTATTTTGCCATGGATTGCATAAAAAACCCAAGGAAACGCTGTAAAACCTTTTTTCATCAGAATATCGGCCTTAAATTTGGGCTGCTCTGCAGGATATATGTCAAAATAAGTCCGTTTAAAATTTATTAAAAATTTAGGCCCCCCCCCCCCCCCCCCGTGCAAACTGCTTGGGCCAGGTAAAAGTGGACAACGGGTTCGGCTCCACCTTCTTTTTGACCCCGAGAACCTACTAAACTTGTCCCTGCACGCTTGTATCGGACTTCGTTATGACTCAGCTGTTCTCATCAAAATTAAAACAATATTCATGTAGGACCGCATCAAAATCGCGGCTAATGCTAGATTATATCGTCAGAGGGCGCATCAAAAAATGTACGGGATCGACATGGGATGTGGAATGTTTGCAGTCCCATGGACTCAATAGCGTAACGATCCCATATAGTTAATTTAAGACCGCGATGTGATCCTGTTCCAGTGAACAGCAAGCAAGGAACACCACAAGGAACCCCATATAAGAGATGCTCATGCCTATTATGCACAACCTAGGAAAAAGACCCCATAAATAGGATGTGCACAATGTGCGTTTATTTCAAACTGTAACTTATGATCTAAAAATGTCCCTGTTTCCCTGTTTGCTCTGACTTTGATGTAATATTTTTAAAATGTACCCTCTTTATGACAAGTTTTCTTCTCAATTGTGCTGCAGTTATGCTGTTTGGCATTTTCTGACAAACTACACGGAGAAAAATACTTTGGTTGCTGTAACTAAAAGTGTCTTTTAGATATACTTATTTCTATGCGGGATAAAATATCATACGAGGGGGCCACCGATCGCGTAATCTTGTGTACAGATGAGGATGAGGGTGCAATCCCTATATAATCCCCTACATAATCCTGATGAATTCCGTGTAATACTTGGCCAAATTTTAAACCATCATCACTAGATTTCACCTCATTGGCCAAATATAGTGGTTTCAGAGCCAAGAATTCAACAAAATGCATGTGTAATCCCTTCAAAATTCACGTGTAATCCCCGTAATCACGTAATCCTGTGTACATCCTAAATAGACTATTCCGGCGGGAGCGCGCAGAAGACTCCACGGAAGCACAAAACGACGCGTCCGTGTAACAGTATCCTGTTTCGCTGCCCCGAAAGACTAGCCTATCTGTTTTTCGGCGCTCTCTGCAGCGCTGTCTTCCTCTTATTGTGGGGTTGCTAATATTAACAGTAGAAAAAAGGTAAAAATTGCCATTTGTTCCTTGATCCTTTAGGATTACGCAGCAGTTTTTACTCTTTTACTACCGGGCCATTTCACCAAAACTGTCATATTCTTGTGCACAGTCGATAGCGGACGAATAAGTCACCTCACAAGGACGCCACTTTGCACAAATCTGTCCGACGACATAACGAAGCGAATCCATACTCGAACAGCAAACCATAACCTCACACTTCGTCTCCACGGGAAGAAAACTGATGATTTTCTCCACTTTTAACTTGTCCTCACTTTCAGTTTCACCAAAATAATCAGCTAGAAAACATAACACATGTTGAGATGTGAACAAACGGGGTTTCCAACTTATCATTGGAACCCCACAGAACGATTTCGCATCAATAGTTTGATCAATTTGAAGGAGTAATATATGGAAAAGTCGGGTTATGTTCGTTTTCACAAAACAACAAAAATTACTAAAACAAAGTTCAAAACGTGATAAAAAATCAACGAATGGTTGTCCAATACTTCTTGTGGGCGTAATACAATGCTCAAGGTACTAGTTAAACAATACGATATGGCGAACACGACAAATCTCGTCATAAACCTAATTTTATCTTCATTTTTCAAACGTACAAGTTCCAAAACAGGCCGCCGCCGCGCCGTTCGTGAAGGGACGGCTCGCCACGTGCATTGTCGCCACGGGACAGTGCAGCCCTAGGGTAGGGCCGACGTGTTCGCGACAGGACATTTGGCCCCGGGGTGCCGGCAAACAGTGTTCATGACGGGACAGGTCGGCCCCAAGAGCATGCCGAGGAGTTCGTGACGGGACAGTTCGCTCACAGGTTCGCACCGCACGTGTTCGCGACGGGACAGCTCACTCCCAGGTTGGTGCCGACCCGTTCACGACGGGACAGGTCGTCCCCAGGTAGCCGCCGACCTGTTCGTGACGGGACATTGTGGCCCAAGGAGCATGCCGTCGTGTTCTCCACGGGACAGTTTGTACCGCGGCCCTACCGGACTCGTTCGTCACGGGACCGTATGGCCCTCCCAGCCAGAAATGCAAACTCGAAACGACGTCGAATCGACGTCGAAGTGACGTCGAAGTCGACAATTCATCGATCTAGATGACAAAATTCCATCGGATCTGTAGTGTACCTAAGACATACTGCAAATAAGCTATCTGCAAATAACTGTAATGGCTACTGTCACACTGAATAATAAAGCAGTTAGACTTGAGACACGGGCGTGAGCACACTTAATTAATTCTGACAACCCAAACTACATTGGCGACGAGGTACTCTGAACTCTAGTCTCCACGATGGGAGACTCTGACGGCATGGAGAAGTTTGAGCCGTATGTCAATGCGTCAAGTGTTGGACCCAGGTGGCGGGTTTGGGCGCGCCAGGCGAAGAATTATTTGGAAGCAAAAGGATTTGAAGAACCTAAACGACAGCGGGCAATGTTCCTCCACAAAGCTGGAAAAGAAGTAGAAGAGATCTTCTTTGCAACCGCTCCAGATGACCCGGTTCAACCTGCTCCTTTGCCGGCAAACCCCACCGCAGCCCAAGAAGAGGTCCACGCTGCAGCGACGCAGGCTTTTGAACGTGAGTCAAGATTGCTCTTTGAAAACGCTGTGTCACTTCTAACTCGCCATTTCGAGCCGCAGAAGAACCATATCTATGAAAGAGAGATTTTCTTTGATTTGCGGTTCGAAGCTTCAGATACGGTCGATTCATTTGTCCAGAAGCTCAGGTCCCAAGCCTCTTACTGTGATTTTGGTGATGAGGGGGATATGATTCGGGATCGTTTGTGTGCACGATGCCCGTGGGCTGAGCTCAAGATGGAATTGAATAAAGTAATAATGGCCGCTACTGCAGCAGCGCCCTTCACCTTACAATCAGCACGCACCATGTCCATAACCTATGAGAAGCTTTTACAACAGGCCAGAGCCACTACTGATGCTGTCAACCGCCTTCAGTTGAATAAGAAGTCTTCTCAAAAGAAAGGTACGGATAATAAGAAGAATAATGGTCCTAAATCTGCTGATAATTGTTTTAGGTGTGGGGCCCCTGACCATAAGGGTTATGATCCTTCCTGCCCTGGTCTAAATCAGTCTTGTGAAAGATGTGGTATTAAAGGACATGTCAAGAAGATGTGTAAAACCAAGAAGGAAAGAGTCGAAGCATTCAAGGCAAGGAGAGTCGATGTCCCTCCTGTCGATTCGTCGGACGATGAAGATATCATACGTGCCTTTCACGAAGAACTCCCCGTCTGCCAGTTGAACTCTCAAGATGCAAGTGAGTACATAAAAGTACACTTGGGATATGCTAAAACTAGAATGTTAATTGACTCCGGATCAAGGAAAAATATTATTCCTAAGCATATTTGGGAACAAATCAAGAAGAAATTTCCAGGGGTTTTTCAAGAACAACTAAGAGTATTATGCCCCTATGGTCTGGAAAGTGGAACTAGAGTTCAAATTCTTGGATACTTTGTCTGCAATGTTTCCCTCGAAAATGGGAAAACTTTGGACAATGTTAAATTCTATGTGGTTGATGTACCTCCTTCTTACGAAGCTTTGTTGGGGAAAGAATCTGCCCTGCTACTGGAAGTCCTTCGACTTGGTTTAGGAGCTTCTGACCAGCTGAATGCTGTTTCTCTCCCCTCTACTAGCATTGCTAATAATTATCCTACTTTGCTTAAGGGTGTTGGCAGAGTCGCCAACATTAACAACACCATTCCAATGAAGAAGAACTCTCCAGGGATAATTCAACCTCAAAGAAGAGTGGCTTTTCATTATCTCCGTCCCATGGAAGAAATTTTATCGGATCTTCTGGCTCATGACATCATTGAGAGAGTTCCACCGGACCATGTTTCCAAATTTGTGTCTCCTTCTCATCTTGTTCCAAAAAAGGATTCTGGTAAATTTAGACTGGTGGTTGATATGAGACAGGTGAACCAGTATGTTGAAGAGGTAATGTACCCAATTCCACTGGTGGAAGATTGTTTGGCCAAATTAAATGGTTCTAAAATATTTAGCAAGATTGATTTCAATTTATTCTTTCACCAACATGCAATTGCAGAAGAGTCTAGAGATGTTGGTACATTTAGTACACCATTTGGCCTTTTCCGCTATAAAGTTCTATTTTTTGGTTTGAGTTGTTTCCCTGAGTTGGCTTATTCCACTGTAAGAAGCCTAACCCATCATATCAAGAACTTTGTCCTGATGTAGGATGATGGTGTTATACATGGAAAAGACCAGCAGACCCATGACAGGGCACTGCGTTTGGTCCCAGAAGCTTTCCAAAAGGCTAACTATACCTTGAACTTGCTAAAGTGCCAATTTTCTGTCCCTGAAATCGAGTTTATGGGTAGCAGAATTTCTGCGAAAGACTACCAACCTACTGATCACAGCATGGAGGCAATCAAGACGTTCCGAGAACCCGCTTCTGCTGAAGAAGTGCACAGCTTCTTGGGACTGGCTAATTTTTGGGCTCCATGTCGATTCGTCCCCTCACTATTCGTCCCCCTGAGGACTGGTACTCCGTCTATTTGTCCTCAGTCATTTTGGTATACTTTTTTTCGTCCGAAGATAATTCGTCCTCAGTTTTCATTATTTGTCCCCCATTTGTCCTACCTTCCTGTCCTCTTTTCGTCCCCTCTGATCCTGGCGTGGGGTATTGTCAAACTGTCGAAAATTCTGTAACCAGAAACGGAATCCATACAGATATAGCCCTGCACTTCATTGCTATGGTCAAAATCTGTTCGACAGGTGTTTGAGAGAAAAAGATTTAACTTTGCTTGAAAAGAAAGAAGTACATTCCAGCGTACAGAATCACACTGTTGAAAAAGTTACCAGACCATTCTGTAGTAATTTACTGGTGTATTCTTTTAACAGGGCTACTATAAGTATACCCCGCACCCATTCAGATAGACGCACCTAGGGTTTGTTGCTCTGCACGTGCATGTGCACGCCAGTTGAACACGTTATTTATCAGTGAATTGTCACTAGGTGCCGCGTGCAAGGGTTCGAAAAAGGTGACAAGTTGTCTGGGTACTAACCATTACTGAGGACAAACTAACCGAGGACAAAAAATCTAGGGACGAGTTATCATGTCACTAATTGTTGAGGACGAATCGTCGGAGGGACGAGTAACCGTAGTACGAGTCAGCCTGTTCCCAATTTTTGTTCTGTATTTATCCCCAACTTTGCCAATGTTGCAGATCCTCTCCGCAGGCTCACTCGACAAGGAGTTAAATTAATTTTGCTGGACTGAGGAGCAACAACGTAGCTTTGAGGCTTTGAAGAGCGCCTTGTCGGCACAGTCTATTTTGGCCTATTTTGATCTCTCTGCTCCAACAACTTTGGTCGTAGATGCCTCACCTGTTGCCCTGGGGGCTGTTCTATATCAACTGCAAGAATATCAAGGTCAGTTAGTCAACAGAGTCATTACTTTTGCCTCTAAGGCGCTTACAGTTTTGGAAAAGAAGTACTCACAAACGGAAAAGAAAGCTTTGTCTCTGGTTTGGGGTTGTAAAAAACTTTCCATGTACCTTCTTGGGTGTTCCTTCAAGCTAGTCACAGACCATAAGGCCCTTGAGTTTATTTTTAAGCCCACCAGCAAGCCATGTGCCCGGGTGGAAAGGTGGGTCTTGCGATTGATGCCCTTCAGATACTCTGTGGTTTATAAGCCTGGCAAATCTAACATTGCTGATTGCCTGTCACGTCTTTCCACTGTACCTAGTGGGAAAGAAGATGTCTCGGAAGAATGGCTAGTTCGAACATTAGTTTCTGATTTGACTCCAAGATGTATTACTTTGGAAGAATTACAGGAGGAAACTCAAAAGGATGAAGTCTTACTTCCCTTGTCTGTGGCCTTGAAGTCTGATGCCTGGCCACCCTCTCTTAGAAGATTTGAACTGATTAAAAATGAACTTGGAGAAGTAGAAGGTATTTTGACTAAAAACTCAAGTTTAATAATACCCAAATCTTTGCAAAAGAAAACTCTTGCTTTAGCACATGAAGGTCATATGGGCATAGTCGCCACAAAGCAGAGACTTCGCTCTAAAGTTTGGTGGGATGGAGTTCATAAGGATGCAGAAAAGTGGGTTAAAAGTTGCCATGGGTGTCAACTTGTACAATAACGCTCCACTGTTGAACCGATGCTCTCGTCTCCTCTTCCAAGAGCCTGTTGGGACATTGTAAGCTGTGACTATTTAGGCCCTTTGCCATCTGGAGACTACTTGTTGGTGGTTGTCTGTTATTATAGTCGATACTTCGAAGTCTTGTCTACCAAGAAAATCACAGCTGAAAAAACTATTGATTGTCTGGAATATGTCTTCTCTCGATGGGGCTACCCATATATTTTGGTGACTGATAATGGACCTTGTTTTGTTGCTGGAGAGTTCCAGGAGTACCTGAGGAATGTTGGTGTGACTCACAGGCTTGTCACTCCATTGTGGCCACAAGCCAATGATGAAGTGGAACGTCAAAACAAGACCATCCTCAAGCGGCTCAAGATTGCCCAAGCTGAAGGGAAAAAATGGAAATCAGAGTTACAATCATTCTTGTTTGCTTATCGCTCTACTCCTCACTCTGTTACCAGGATAGCCCCGCTCGAGTTGATGACTGGCAGGAAAATTAGGGATAAACTCCCATCCTTGACAACTGTGTTTCCTCCCTTGGATGACGAAGAAGTGAGAGACCGTGATGATCTTTCAAAGGCCAGAAACAAGGAATACGCAGACAGAACCAGGCATGCTGCACCCTCTTCTCTTGGCTCTGGTGATCGAGTCCTACTTCAGCAAAGGAAGACAGACAAACTCAGCACCAATTATGAGTCTTCTCCTCTTACGCTACTCAAGAAAGCTGGGTCAAAAGTTTGGGTTCAAACAGACCATGGAAAGGTACTTGAAAGGAATAGCTCTTTTGTAAGACCATACGTTGACCGCACCTCTCTTTTTCCAGAAGCAAATGAACCTAATCCTTCTGCGACGGTTTCAACACCTTCTCAAGCCTCTCAAGATATGCACTCTACCCCTCAAACTCCTGCGACGCCTGCATCAGCTCCAAGCTTGGCTCGTCCTGAGACTCCAGTTACTTGTCCTACCACTCCTCGGAGACCTGTTCGTAATAGACGCTTACCTTCACATTTGAAGGATTTTGTATTAAACATTCAATTTCCCTTCTGATCTCTTAATGCCTGTGATATAATCTTTTATTTTTATTAAAAAAAGGAAAGGTGATGTAGTGCACCTAAGACATACTGCAAATAAGCTATCTGCAAATAACTGTAATGGCTACCGTCACACTGAATAATAAGGCAGTTAGACTTGAGACACGAGCGTGAGCACACTCTTAATTAATTCTGACAACCCAAACTACGTCGATTTCGCGTCGATCAATCAAATCGACCAAATTTCGACGATGCATTTCTCGCTGGGCCTCCTGGGGTGGTGACAACGGTGTTCATGACGGGACAGGTTGGCCTCAGGGGCATGCCGACGTGTTCGTGACGGGACAGTTTGGCACCGGGGGGCGCAGTTGGCGTGTTCGCGACGGGACATATCATCCCCTGTGTCGACGGAGATCCGTTCGTCACGGGACTGTCCTGTATGTCTATAAGCACCTATATCTCTGCATGCAGGCAAGATATTGTCATTTTGATCTCACCAGGACCTTACTTTTGACAAGTTCTTTCAAACAAGCATATAAAACGTTATTCGCTGATTACTCCTAAAGCAATAAGATATTTGCCATTTTGACTACACCGTTGTCTTCCTCTCGAAAAAACCTTTCAAACGAGTATAAGGTTGATGGGTGTCTGAAGGCTAGAAGGCTAGTTAGCGCAGGAGGCATCGACCTTATCGGTACCTCCTATCAATATGCGCTCATTTGTTTTTAGTCCACACATACCCGCTCATTACTAAGGGCTCTAAACAGAACCGCTCATCTGCACGGGTCCTACGCAGAACCGCTTATCGTTCTGAAATACGGGCGGGTGATTCCCAGATTTCAATGGATGTTTCTAGGCGCTGAGCTTCAATTTCGAAACAAAAAATGTAACATACTCTCTCTGGAACACCGTATTAAAACTGCTATAACCCGTAGAAGCCTACGATGTTGGGTGATATTGTAGTAAATATGAGGGGCAACCTAACCTAACCAGCGCCACGGCCGCGAGCAGATGAGCGGTTCTGTGTAGAACCCGCGCAGGTAAGCGGTTCTGTTTAGAACCCGAGGTGATGAGCGGTTACGTTTAGCCTAATGAATTATAAGCGCATATTGAAAGGAGGTACCGTTATACTCGTTTGAAAGGTTTCTACGAGAGGAAGACAACGGTGGTGCACTGTCCCGTCACGAACGGGTGTCCGTCGACCCGTGGCCGCAGTGTCCCGTCACGAACACGTCGGCGGCCTTTTGGTCCGGACTGTCCCGTGCCCGACGCAAAAAAGATTTGTTCGCTTTTAGATCGTTTTCTGTGCGTCGTGGTGAACTCCACGCGCACAAGCCGCGACCTTTTTAAGTGTTCGCCAGATGTTCGCGCACGGTTCGCCGTGGAGTTCGCTTTCGGTCCGCCGAAGAGCGCGAATGTGACATTTCGCGAACATTGTTTGCTTTTGGTACGTCATGGGCCGACTCCGCTTGGGTCGCCAAAAGTTCGCCTGCGGTACGCGTTGAGTTCGCCAAAGGTTTGCTTTTAGGTTGCCAAATGTTCGCTATTCGGACGTGAAAACGGGGGGGGGGGGGGGGGGTTCACAGGGGACGACGCCAGGGATAGGGGGTGCGGGTAGGGCAGTACCCGGGGGTAGGAGATGTCCAGGGCGGGTAGGCAGCAGTATTCCGATAGCCAAAAAGGAAAATATTTTATTTGTGGTTTTTATCGATTGTTACCTTTCCCTGGCCCCCTCCCTCTTCCTCTACTTCAACGTAGTAATTTTATTTAATGACATTCAATTGGAAAGTACTTTACCTTTGCTGGGACTCGAACCTCGGTCATCCGAGTTAGGAACCCGTCGCCTTGACCACTAGACCACGAGTTCGCCGGTAAGGGGACCGTGTCCGATACCGGGGTCCCTCCTCGGCCAGCCTCGGGGCTCTACGGGCCAGAAGATTATTACCGACAAACCGCGAGCGACCTGAAAGCGTACTAAAGTCCCCATCTTCGCGACGCGAGCAGAAAGCACACATAAAGCTATATTTTGTTTTGCGGCGGGCACTGACTGACAATGTACTGTTTAGTGCGTAGGTACGTACAACTGTCAACATACATAACCTACGAACAAAATTTGTACGTAACTATGTACAACATTGTACCTAATTATGCATAATATCGCCTAAAATTGTGCGTATATTACGTATGTGCATAGTTGTACGGAGGTATGCGTCCTCTCTCTACGAGTGCGTTCTCTCTGCAACTTCAACTCGTATGTAGACTGACGTGGTCGTTGTGTCCAGCTGCCAAAGTGGGCAGTGTGCAGTGCAGAGGAGCCGTCGGGCTCCGGGGTCCGGGGGTTCCGGGGCCGCCCCATCGTCCCCTCTTCTGCTCTCAAGTGCGCCGGTCTAGGGATTAGCGCTAGCCCTCAGCCGGGGTTTCCTGGAAAGGAAAATACCCCGACTCCTCGGGGCTCTCCAGGTGAACCGAAAGCGTACTGTGGTCGCTCTGTTCGTCTCGGAGCGACTTGAAAACATACTCAGGTCGCTCGTCCGCGCATGAAGCGACTCGATGACGGACAAATGTCGCGCCGGCGCGAACCTCCGGCGAATCTTGGCGATACGTCGCCCAGGAGCCTGACGAACCTCGGCGACCCATCGGCGCACCGAGCGCGACCCTCCGCGAACCGATAGCGTACCGAAAGCGTACCAAAAGCAAACAAATCTTTTTGCGTCGGGTGAACGGATACCCGTCGATCATGTCGCTGGGATGTCCCGTCACGAACACGCTCGTTGCAGCCGCGGTGCCGAACTGTCCCGTCACGACCGGTCACGACCATTGCCGCCGCCACCATTAGGGTAAGTCGTATATCGCTTATTTTCGGTTTTGGGGTTGTAATAGTGTTTTCCAGGCGCCATTTTGGATGAAAACTCCTGGAAACATTTTATAAGTTTTTTCCTTTAACGTTTTCATAACCCTACCTTGCCTGTCATTCTGGCCTGCCATAAGAGGTGGTTGTGAAAACCTCAATTTCGGGCGTATTTTTTCTTGACTAAACACGCAATTTTACGGCCCTCTGGGCGAAAATTTTAGGGAGAAGGCTCTACCTGAGCCGGTTTTCGAGCTACGATTTATTTTTGGAAGGGAAAAGGTTGCTTATTTACAGCAATATAAAAACAATTCATATCATGCAAACAAGAAGAGATAGAGCCTTCTCCTTAAAATTTTTACCCAGGGGGCCGTAAAATTGCGAGTTTAGTCCAGAAAAAAATACGCTTAAAATTGAGGTTTTCAATACCACCTCTTATGGCAGGCCAGAATAATGGGCAAGGTAGGGCTATGAAAACGTTAAAGGAAAAAACTTAAAAAAATGTTTCCAGGAGTTTTCATCCAAAATGGCGCCTGGAAAACACTATTCCAACCCAAGAATCGAAAATAAGCGATATACGACTTACCCTGGCCACCATGGGGTGTGTTGTCCCATGTCGAACGACTCGGTCCCGTGGCGGGCGTCAGCGAACGTCGATTTCAGTTGGTCCGAAATAAGACAGTTTTCGCGAAATGACCCTACCGTTAGTATTAGCAAACCAACATTAAGAAGAAGATAGCGCTGCAGAGATCGCCGAAAAACAGATAGGCTAGTCTTTCGGGGCAGCGAAACAGATAGGCTAGTCTTTCGGGACAGCGAAACAGAAAGGATATTGTTGCACGGACGCGTCGAAAAGGGGTCGCTATTGGCTGAGCGGCGTCCCCCTCCACTGCGGGAAGATGGTGGGAGACGCCGCTCGGCGAATCATGGGCCCTTTTGTTTTTCCGTGGAGTCTTCCCCGCGCTCCCGCCGGAATAGTCTATTGAAGTGGTGGCCCCTCGATATATTAACTTTCGCAAAATACAGCCGTTTTCGTGCCTGCGCCTTGCAATGGTGCTAGAATTATTCGAAAAGGCCACTATGCTGCCATTTTCAGAAAATACACTTTTTCTTTGCTCGGGTCCCGGGGTTAACGGTTACAGTGTTGCTAACCACTTCTTGATCCCCGATCCATTTCAGTAAAGTTTAGAAAATTATGCGATCATGCGAGACATAGGGGACAAACCGAATGGGACAATGGCTTGAGAACCACGTTCATGGAAATCGGTGCCATGGGAATGCCATGTTGTCGCTGAGCGAAGCTCAGTCCAAGTTGATGAGGGGTCAGGCGTTGTCTCGGTCGTGAGTCTGTCTGTCCGTGTGTACGTTCGTCTTTTGTTCGAAAACGGCTGCACTTATGACGGAATGCGAGTTTGCCTAAACATCTGTAATTTAAGGGAGACCCAGTCTCCCCTTTTCGTTCGCAACGGACTAATTTGAAATATTTGGTCCTTTCTTTCCCGGAGGGAGCTTCAGATGTTGTTGTTTCGGTGGTGGCTACCCTGAGTGAAAAAGAGCGCGAACACTCAAATGGCTCCTTGCGCCCACCTCGATACTTTCTGATTTTCTCACACGTGATCATAATGTCAGATGGACAAACCGAGTGTGAAATTTTCAGTTTTAGAGTTGCGGAACTCGACTTACAAAGTTTCGTCGGTGTCCGGTGAAAAGGAACGAAAATGACATTTTAAATGGTTTACGTAATTACGTACGTAAGTTGGAGGGGAGGAGGGGGTTCGGGGTTTGGGAGAAATGTGCAAAGGTAACTATTGTTTCGGGGTCATCTTGACAAAAGAAAACGAAAATGTTTTATGCTCTAAGACGATCGGAATCGAAATGGCAGAGATATTACCCACCAATTTGGCAATTTGGTCGATTTTGAACACTTTTTACCCTTTGGAAGCTAATAACTAAGCCATTTCGACTCTGATCGGCTTTGAGCATAAGACACTTCCTTTTTCATTTTGAAAAAAGAAACCAAATCTTGTATGACACTTTTAATTTTATAACCACTAAAAAAATCCAAATTTTCAATTTTTGTATTTTAACAAAATGTAATAGTGTGTACTTGTAGAATGATTGGAAGTGTTTTATTAGGACATGTCAAAACGATTATTCGACCCACAACTTATTTTCACAATAGCCATGGACCTGCAAGGGACCGAACAATATTATAGCCAATATCGTTAACTCAGGTAGGATAGGCCCATCGAAATCAGAACAAGGTATATCATTTTCTTCAATTGACTAGCTTTGTCTGGAGTCCCATTATGTTTAATGATATCCAATAAAATGATGGGAGCATTTAAATTAAACTCTATGATACGATACATAATAGAACTTTCAATTAAATATACTTCAGCGCTTCAAATGCTTCGGAGAGATCTGATAAAAATGAATGAAAGAGCGACAAGTTATACTTGTCGTAGGTGAGAAGTTTAAATGTATTTTGAAATTAAATTAAATATTAGGGTACTTAATTTCACTTCAACCAGAGGCAACCAAATAGAATTTCACCTTTCACAAATAAAATGAATTGAATGAAATGGGAGCATCATGTGGCATTACAGAAAAGGGTAAATTGATTAGGGGGAGGGCAGTGGGGATAGGAAGGGACAGTAGCAGACATATTCTGTATGAACTTCAGGAACTGTAACAGTTGTGTGTTTACCAAAACAAATCAACCATGTATTTTGATGAATAGAAACCAGACTTCCCAGTATCAAGCTTTTCTAGTGGACTTCCAAATCTATGCCTGTTGTAGAGAGAGGGGGGGGGGTGCAAGGGATTTGAACTCTAGTTGAATACAGCGACCCAACCAGACCAGGCCGCGGTTTAAGGCCCGGCTGGTCCCTCCCCCATCTCTCACGTTCAAGGAGCAGAATCAGTTGCCTACCTACTAGGCGGACCCTCATTCATTATAGTTTTGTTCAATATTTGTTACGTCTTCTGTTGTATTGATGCACTTCGCTAAGCTACCCCGTGCATAATGTTAACGCACGGGGCCCTACGTCTTTAAATGGGATCATACCGTACAGGTACATACCTGGTATCCACGACGGCTTTGTCACCCGGGCCCATGGGACACGAACCCACCCAGTGATACGTAGCGCCAGACGTTGTCCTCACGAGGCACCTAGCGTACTCGTCGGAGTCGTGCGGGAAGCCCCTACCGAAGCAAATTACAAGTTCACACAGTTTAATGGACAGTTTTAAATACATTTTTCAGAATTTCGACACCTTGGAATAAAAGGCACGCAGTTCAACTGCTCGACGCATCCGAGCAACAAAGGCGGATCAAAAAGCGGTCGCTGAACGACGGCGGATCAGAAAGCGGTCGCTGAACAACGACGGATCAGAAAACGGTCGCTGAACAACGACGGATCTACTTTTTGCTGATCTCTGCATACTTGACTTTGAAGGCCTCTTACTCTCCTTACAGATATCGCATCGTGTTGGGTGTTGTCTCTGTTTATTCACGAGATGATGACAATGAAAATGATGTTTTACTGAAAACGATACAACGTCTCCGCGATGAGTGAGAGGCCCCCAAAGTCAAATATGCCGAGATCAGCAAAAAGCAGATCCGTCATTGTTCACCCGTACAAAATGATTTGCCTCATAGGTGGATCTTACTCATACACTCTCGAGACACCGCTGAGCCAGTCTATTGTCAGTTTGAAACGTCAATCGAGTCCACTTTCCGTCAGCGTTGAGTTACTTCTGATCCATAGCCGAGCCCTCCCAGAGCTGCTTTCGTTGGCTCCATCGTGGATCCACAGAGGTGCCAAGATGGCTACTTTGTCTCGAAAAGTAGCCTTTCCTGAGCCATGACTGATCCATGCTAAAGCTATCGTGGAGACAAAACGGGGAACTGTGGCTGAGATGGTTGAGACAAACTCGAGCCATCATTGAGACACACTTTCACCGAATGTTGATAAAAGCTGCGCGCCGACAAGGACGCTGGTGCGAAGCGAACCTCCGACCTACCAGCTGAGAATCTGTCTCGCTAACCGCTTGGCAAGAGCGGAAAGATAGAAGGACGTGTGTCACCGGCTGCACCGGTCCCGCACGTAGCGACGCTGCGCAGAAACGCTGGAGACATCTCTGAGACACACTTGATACGGCGAGCGCTACCACTCGCCCACCCTTGTCAGGGTGCGATGGATCAAGTGTGTCTCAGAGATGTCTCCTGCGAGTCTGCGCAGCGTCGCTACGTGCGGGACCGGTGCAGCCAGTGACACACGTTCCTCTGTCTTTCGGCTCTGGCCAAGCGGTTAGCGAGACAGACTCTCAACTGGTAGGTCGGAGGTTCGCTTCTCTTAAGTGTCCACGTGGGCGCGCAGCTTTTATCAACATTCGGTGAAAGAGTGTCTCAATGATGGCTCGAGTTTGTCTCAACCATCTCAGCCACAGTTCCCCGTTTTGTCTCCACGAT